CAGCAGGATGAAGCACCTCCACTACGGGGTAAGGATGAGAGAGCTGGGGCTCTTCATCCTGGAGAAGAAAAGGCTCTGAGGTGACCTTATAGTGGCCTTCCAGTACCTGAAGGGAGTCTACATGAAAGTTGGGGAGGGACTTTTTATATGGACATGTAGTGAGAGGATGAGGGCAAATGGTTTTAAACTGGAAGAGGGTAGATTTAGACTAGATATTAGGAAGAAATTCTTTACTGTGAGGGTGGTTGCCCAGACAGGTTAACTATGACCCCTCCCTGGAGGTGCTAAAGGCCAGGCTGGATGGAGCTTTGAGCAATCTGATCTAGAGGGAGGTATCCCTGCCTACAACGGGGGGGGGGGTTAGAACTAGATGACCTTAAAGTTCCCTTCCAACCCAAATCATTCTTCACCTTCCATTATTTCTCACTCACCAGCAATACCTGCAGTTAGCACAAGTGCAGTGGTATGATGCACCTTTTGCTTGTAGAATAACAAACTTAAACAGTCAAGACAAAAATAGAAATTTCAAATACACAAACTCAAATGTTTTCATTGAAGGTGCTTGCAACTTAGATGCCTATGTAAATAATGCATATGCTCTGGCACTTTCTTTGATAACAGTACACTGAACTTCTCAGAGTTTCCTGACAGGACTGATTAAACCTGTTACTCAATAAACCTGCTATAACTGAGAAGGTATATAAAAAATTCTCTCTGATAGCACACCTAACAATACAGTCAGATAATAACTTTTCCAATCAGCTGTCTTCCAGCTGCTTTAGACAAAACTAAAAGTCTCCCTGAAGTTCCTTACCTACAAAAGAGAATAGATGGAAGTTCACTCAAGACCAAAGACATAAGGAAGATATAAAAAAGATTTTAAAAGTCCAGTAAAAGTCAGATTCCTGTTTTGTAACAAAGAAGAAGGAAAATGCACAACATTTTATCAGACAAAAGCCAAAATATGCTTAAAATAAAATAAAATGAAATTATATGCTTAAGATGAAATAAAGCAAAAAAGAGTAACAAGAATTCTTTAATACAGAAAGATAATAAAAATTTCTAGGGAAAAATACATGAGTGTGTAAGAGAGGCTGTATAAACATTAGTAAGTACTTCCAAGAGAATTTGTGCTTCTATTAATCATAATTCTAAAATGATACAAAAGAAAACATATTCTGGAATGAAAACAGTCATCACTGTCACATCCTTCATCATTAAGAGGATTTATGTAGTTTTCTTCTAGCAGTGTAAGCCCTGGATTGAAGAGGAATACTCTACATATTTTACTGTTCAAAGCCCTCAAATGGCAACAAAGAGACACTACAGTGCTAATCCACTTTTAAGAACTGTCAGGCTGGAAGAGAGGGTGTTATGTGGTGTTGCTTCAAAATAGTTTAGAATACTAGACAACTGAAAGTTAAATAAGACAGTGGATATCACCTCTAATACAGAACTGAATACAGAAGTCTCATTTGTGCTTTCTAATGTTGGCAAGTGTCCACTCAAATAACCTGCTGCATTTTGCAAGAACTTTAAACACATGCCATAGACAGCAAATCTCCACTTCTTACCTCAAATATAGGTCTACATTTGAAGCAAAACTTGGGCTTCTAAAACAGTGTTAATAGTACTGAGCTAAATTTATACAACTAGAATGCTTATTATGACCTTTGGGTATTTTAAATCAAGGTCCTCTTCAAGAAAGCAGTAGTTACACTCTCTTTGGTTTTCTAAAAAGAAAAATAAACTGTATGTTGGTTTTTTGTGTTTCAAATGGATAAATGACATGGACACTCAAGACATTGCTGCATTCATTTTCATCTCTTTTGCTTAAATAAATAAGGACTTTATTTTCACCACTGATTTTATCAGTGGAAAGTGTTTGCATCTGCAATACAAAATGTGCAAAGCAAATTCCATTTTACATTGAAGCAGTCAAAAAGTTGTTTGTCTCTGCTATTTGATACATAAATGTAATACCACTTACTATCCTTTTTTTCCCTTATTTAACAGCCAAAATTGCTCGTGTATCTGTAGAAAAAGACCTGCAGTGTTGATGTACATGATATATTGAGAGGTGGTGAGACTTTACTGATCATCAGATGACTTCATTCTTGGCCCAATACATCCATCAGGCCTTTTATTTCCTCTAAAGAGAAACCGGAGTTCTATACAATTTGCAAAGCCCTTGTAAAATGTGCAGTAGTTCCATTTGCCAGCTGGCATGTTTTCAAGTGAATCTTGATTGAGCCATTACATTATACAAATAGGAAAAAACACTGAGGATTTTAACAAAAGGAAATCCACTATGAGAGCAAAGATCATATCACGTTTTAGATTATTTGAGTGTTCACTAAAAAGAGATCTTTTGTTTTGTTTGATAGTGAACAGTGAAAGAATCGACAGGAAGACACGTTTGTTTCAATGCTAAGTGGTGTAGCAAACAGCAGCAAATGATCACTGCAGTTTCTACACTGTGTGAATTTCAAAACAGTGAGGCACAAACACCAAAATGTCAATTTTGGCTGTAACTAAAGAAAGGAACAGTAAATAGTAAAGTAAAATCTACTGCAAAAGTAGAGGCTTTGCTTCTTTCTCCTCTATTGTTTTCTGAAACTACACTTACTGAACTACATGGGCTTTTAAGAAAACTAGTGGTGTCTTTATGGTCCTGTATCTTTAACTACTATGCTGACAAGAAATGCAACCACAGCCCAATAAAATTATGAATACTATTTATCATTCCCTAGACTCCTCCTTCTAGTCTTCGTTTAAATTTCTAAATTAACCTCACTGATTCTTAACTTCACAACATAGAAGGAATTATCTTGAAGATAACTCCCAGTCATACATGAAAATGTGCCTCTTTAGTCATATGGAACAAGGCCTGCGGGTTCAGTGCTCTTATCTGGTCCTACAGAGCTGAAGAAAATGTTTAAGTACGCTAGAATAAAACTAGGTAGGAAAAAAAGGGTGAAGAGAAATCTAAACACAGCATGAAATAAGCAACAGAAGGCAGAGAGTAAAACATGTAAGACATGTGAGGGAAGGTATACTTTCATTACAAGGAAAGTACCAAACAACTCTAGAAAGATCTAACGCCCAAACATACAAGAGCACTGATTTTACAACAAAAACAAAACAAAACAAACCCATAAATCCTGTCAAGCCACACAGCAGACCAAACTTGCATGCTCATTAATTTAGGTAATGCCATTTAGGTGTATGCTTATATTATAACTATCAGTGAACACTAATGTAATAGCGAACTAGAACTTGCAAAGAGATCTCGCATAGCACAGCTCTCTGCATAAGACACCCAGCTGCAGACCCTCTTAGGTTTCTTTTCAACCACTCTCTAATGACCATTTTAAAAGACACCAGCTGCAAAAGCGATAGACAGAATATGAAAAAGTTGAATAGATTTTTCACTTTTTAAAAAGCAGTTAATGGTTTCAACATTTGATTTTTTGAAAACTGAGTCTTTAATGTATGCAACATTTTATGCCTATAAGGAACAGTTGTGTGAACTAAAGAGAGAACACTGGAAAAAATGCATCACTGCCCTGTGACCTCCTTGATCTAGGCCCAATTTCCTTGCATTTGAATCATTAAATTCCTCTCCTGGCAGTTTAAAACTTCACTGATGTCAAGACAAGTCCCATTAGATAAGAGATACTAGATTCTCCTGTCTGAGTTCCTCTGAAAAGCACATGTAACTTATTGTAAAATAACTACTGTTAAAAGCAGGGTATACTGTGATTATTTGGAAAAAAAGCATCTTATAAACAAAAAATAATTTTGTCCCTTTAATTCCAAAATACTCTGGACTTCCAGCTGAGATGTTGTTAGTTTTATTCCACAATGTACTGAAAAAACATTGCTGAAAAAATTCTACCAGGACCCCATGAACAAAGACTGGATTTTTTCCACATGGAATAAGTATTGGTATCATTTTCCATATGGCTTTGCTTACTTTCAGTTCTAAATATGAAAACACTGTAAACGGAAACAGGCACAGAAAAGTTATCAAATCCTGTTAGAGACAAAACCTGGACACATATGCAACATCACAAGGGAAAAAGGCTTGGACTTAAGTTGAAATTCCAAAGCAGCTGATAAACTCAAAATAAATCATTGCATTTTTATCAAAATTTGAGTTCCGCTTTTCAGGTTTGCTTTTTGGGGGCTGTTGGTTGATTGTTTTGATTTTGGCTTTTTTTTTCCTCAGCATGTCCATATAAAATGCATTTCGACAGCCCTGATGTGTCAAGCATGGGCAAATGACTGATTTTTAACAGGCAGCTTCCCACTGCCAACCAAACAAGAACATCTATTTCCCTGAAATACAGCCAAGCAGCTGTATTTCAGAAAGGTTCCATTTCATTTCTAGTTTGGAAACAAAGAAAATTGCTGTATAATCTATTATTTGCATTTGCCTAAATTAACAGACCTTTGCTTCTCAGGTGCAACATGCCAGTGAAATATTTTAATCTAGAAATGTGCAAAAATCATGTTACGTGAAAGTAAGAGAAAAAATGAGTTCTGGTTTCAAAGTGCTTGCCAACTGACAGTTTTTGCCTTCTGCAACCTATAACAATTTATAGATTGACCAGAAAGCCACTTACTGCACAGGACATATGAATTTGTTAGATTACTCACAGTAAGGATTCAGTTCTGATAGATACTCAGTGACCTCAGTGGCAAGTAAAATGCCTCCAATTTTACTGCACTGCTCTGTATTTATAACACTGTTTTTACTCCAATAGGAGCATCCTCCATTTCTACTGATAATTGTTGAGAACTGTTTTAGTCATATATAAAAAAGCCATAAGGGAAAGGAGAGCTTTCCTTCCAGTTTGAGTTTTCTCCTTCATCCATCTTCTGTAATTACAAATTACATTGAGGAACAACACAAAGGCCAGATGTCCCTGCACTCAGCTAGTTAGACATTGTATCAAAGATATTACTGAAAGTATATAATCAAATGAACTTACCAGTAGAGAAAACAAGAACAGTATTATTCCAAAGACCGTATTTTTTCAGAGCATCAGTAAGATTTCCTACAGCTTCATCCAAAAGAGACACCATTCCTGCGTAATGGCGCCTCTTTTCATCTTTAATGGAGGAATATGGTTTCATGTACTCTTCAGAAACCTCAAGAGGCTCATGGACAGACTGAAAAGCAAGGTAAAGAAAGAGGGGCTGGGGTGGAAGGGAAGGAATGTAAATTAGTTTAACACAAAGCACTACATGCAAGAAAAATGCTTTAATTCGTAAACACGCACTAGACTTCTAATTTTAGTGTTTGGTAAAATCACAGAGAACACTATTCTTGAAGCTACTGAAATAACCCTGAAAGACAATATAGCCTTTAGTTAAAGCCAGCACAGGTTCACAAGAGGATGGTCTTGCTTAAGTGATTTAATTTCCTTTCATGACAAGGCTATCAATCTTTTTGACCAGTGGAAGTCAGTAGACCTGGTCATTCTGGAGTTCAGCAAAGCTTTCAATACTGTTTCTCACAGTACCCTTCTGGATAAAATGTCCACCATGCAGCCAGCCAAAAACACAATATGATGGATGAACAGCTGGCTGATGGGTCACACTCAAGGATTGCAGTAAATGAGGTTACATCAGCCTAGCAGCCAGTCACTAAGGGGATACTGCAGGGTTTCATTTTGAGGCCAGTTCTCTTCACTGTTTTTATAAATGATCTGAATGCAGGATTTGAATTCATACTAAGTAAATTAAGAGGACCTTTGGTAAAAGACCTATCCAAAGGCGTGAGAAAACATCAACTGACCTTCTCTTCATAACACAGTTATGAGTTTTTTCTCTGAAAATTCTTCCACTAAGCTTTCTACTCTTTTTTTAGGAGAGCAATATGCTAGAACATTTTAATAAATTTATTAAATAAATTTAATAAATACTGCTCCTATTATTAGAAATAAAATGGAGAAGGGCAGTAGGCTAGGGTTGTGCAAACCAAATTCATTTGTACAGGGAGAAAAGATGAGTTTTATCAGTGCTACTTCTCACATTTAGCTGTTCTCTGTGTAACCTTCTAAGAAGCCTAGATACAACCTCTGCATTAATATATATATATATATTTTAATATTCTTTAGTGCGAGTAAGAACTGCTGACTGTACCTTCTCAGTGTTATGATTGGCTATAAGGTCTATAGCTCTTTCTGTAAATAAATTCGTGGAATACATGTTTTTAAAACCAGTAGCGACTTCTTCTCCATCACGGAAGTCCAGGGCACAGCGTGTTACATTCTTTGGTTTGATGAACACACAGTGATCATGAGAATAATAATCCTCACTCCCCAGAAGATAACCTAGAAAGGATGACAAGGAAAGAGGCCCATATAACATCACAGAAGCAGATACATGGGAAAGAGAGCCAAATAGAAATGTCAAAACTTTAGAGCTTTAGGGATGAGAAACTCATCCAACTTTTAATAATCTGCAGTGACAGCCCATGATAGGACTAAATAGCTCAACACTGAACACACAGACTTTTTATCACTTCTACAGACAGTAATTTCACTGCACAGAAAATCGTCTGAAGGCAGTTCAGTGACATTTATATTCAAATTTTTGATAAAAGTTATAAACCAATACACTGTTAGTGAAGTAAGTCACTTATCCCAGTAACACTATAAATTTATATCATAGTACAAAATTGTATGCTTTTTCATGTAAGACTTTTCTCTCTATTACAAAGTTTGGACTACTTTATCTTAGTACTTGTTTTTTGTGGGTTTTTTTTTTGTTTGTTTGTTTGTTTCCCTTTTTGGTTGTTATTTGGTGATTTTTTTTCTTATACTTATTTAAAAACACCCAAAAATGAAGTGTTTCTTCAGCTATGAAGACATTTTTGATCCACTGCTGCCCCCAACTGGTGAAAAGAAGATATTACAATTTGAAGATAACCAAAAGACAAAAAAATCTAGAGGTGTAGATTTGCTCCCACCAAGAGCTGTACTATTAAGCACGGAGTGCTTTACTCTTTATAGACCAGGAAAAAAAACTCTTTAAAATCATTCAGATCTCAAAATTATTGCTTCTAGAATTAGATTTCAGATGTATATTTCAATACCCTAGAAAAGGAAAAAAAAAAAAAAAAAAGCAAAATCTGCAAAATTATATTCTGAAGTTCTGCAAAACCAAACTAAAGCTGAGGATAAAACTTCAGAATGGAAGAACTCTACTTGAATCTTATTCAGCAGCTTCAAGTATTACTAGTCATGCAAAAAGGATAAGTGTAGAATGAAGAAAGAGATATTGAAGTAGAAAACACTCCCTACATTTTTAGGTCAAAAAAAGGCTTTTCTTTCAAAGCATAAATAGTGATTTTGTGTGCTTCCCTCAATTTACTCAAAAACTAAAAATTTCATTTTTCTATTTTGAGTGTCCACTGGGGGAGACACTATCAAGACTCTTGCTGCAGAGTGAAAAGCCTCTAACTGCAATCAAAACCTACTGGAATTAAAAGAACATAGTTGGGTATCAAACCACCACATTCTCTGAAAAAGAATTCCCTTAGTGTCATGGTGGGCAGTCAGTGAGCATACTTAGAGGCAACACTGGCCCATTATTAAATCCTGCTCATTCCTAGGGTGAGATTTCACAAGGAGTGTAAGTTTTTATCTTCATCTGTGTTGTCAAAAAGAACACAAGCTCATGGAAGAGATGGGAGCAGTAGGCGAACATGGGAAAAGGCATAAACATTCAAGAAACGATCCACCATATTGTGATCTCTATTTATTAGCTTCATTCACTTTTGAAGCCATAGTCTCAAACTCTCTCAAGAGTCAAGAGACAAAACTGTTCTAAACTAAAGGAACTGTTCTTCCCACCATTTTCAACTTGAATCATCAGTATCTACAAGGGAATATAGCACAATCAGGCTCTTAATCTGGATACCTAGCATTAGAAGAGCGTGGACTTCAGAAAGCATAGATGAAGTTTATCTTAATTTTCCAACTGTAAAACTGGGCAGTGGCAATTAATAGTGACAAAGTTATTTTCAAGATGTGTGTTTTGAATTTTTCCATTCAATGAAAGTTTTTAAAATCCATCCTAGTGGATGTTAACAACTTCATATTCAGTATCAGGTGACATGGGATGCATTAGTGATAGCCTCATCCAAATAACACCAAGAATATTTGTGCAAAGCTATGAAACATCTAATTAATACTTGGAAAATAAACTTTTTAAGAGGAAAAATATGTAGTGCATAGTTACAAACTGCTCTGTAGCATAAACATAGTTGGACAATCCAATGATGGCTTTTTGTTTGTTTTTTTTAAATCTAGGTGACTGATTTCCTATCTTTTAAATTCCTGTAACATTTTGGATGTTGTTTCATAAAGATTCTTGCACTACATGCCTTTCCAGAGGAAGTGGAAAATCAGTGATATTCTATTCACAAAGCATGAAGACAGTATTGTGTGATGCCTACTTCTCTCCCTTTTAAATGTATCAGCTTACTGTAAATTTAATATTATTTTCAGAACAAAATATGTCTATTGTTTGATCTAACCCAAAATGTTCACTTTAGAGATACTTCTAGAAAATGAAACCAGTCACTACACCTTAAGTCTTCTAACTATCATGGAACACACTTAAATGCAGTTCTTTAAAAATAAACACTTTCTTTAGAGGGACTCAATAATTATGGCATTTTCGTCAATAAATTGGTGAGGCTTGGACATACATTTAATACACCAATGCATTTTAAACAGTTACACTTTGCAAATAAGCTTACACAAACATTCATTTACTTATGCACTAACAGTAAATCTGTCCTTAGAAGAATCAAACACTCTTCTATCATTTTTAACACCATATTTACTGCACAGATTAAATCTACCCATTACCAAAGTAAGTATCAAATCCTCTGCGGGTTGGAAGGCATTCCTTCCTGTACATCCCTAAATGCCACTTCCCCACCATGTGAGTAACATATCCTGCATCTTTAAGCAGCTCTGGGAGGAGTTTCTCATCAAGCGGTAGACAGCTGGGCTGGCACGGCCAAATTATTTGGTGTTGTAAACCCGTGTGGATCTAGCAAGAAAAGGAAAGAAGAAAGATTACTTACAATTTAACGACACGTGTCTGTAGGCTATATATCAGGCCCCAGAATAATAAATACTATACAGCAAGCTGGCTAGCATCAGTTTTTATGGCCTGTTTTCAGTGATGTAGCACTGAGGAAGTTCAGGAACCCAAAGATGGAGGATATGGAGGAAGACAATGGAATAGCATTGTTGGTGTTAAGAAGAGGATCTTTTCAAGCAGAAATCAAGTACAAAAGTGCAATTAAAAAAAAAAAAAAGAGCCTTTTGGGCTTCCACTGGAAAACCTACCAATTAACAACTACCAAACTACCACTACTACCTTTCTGTTAGACCTCTAACTACTCCATCTATGTTTTTAAACTTAACAAGTGGTGAATTGTGTATCTCCACAAAAGTATGACCAGTAATGATAGTCTGATTAGTACATCATGTTCAATACAAGAAACTTTTTCCATGACTACATACCATAAGCTGAACTTTGTTAATTCCCTTATTTTTGACAACATAGACAGTGGGATCAAGTTTACCCTCAGCCAGTTTGCTGATGACATCAAACTGAGTGTTACAGGTGATATGAAGAAAGGATACCATGCAGACTGATCTGGACAGGCTTGAACAGTGGTCTCATGAGAACCTAATGAGGTTCAACAATGCCAAGTACAAGGTGTTGCACTTGGGTTGAGGCAATCCTAGATATGTGTACAGACTTAGAGAAAAACTCATTGGGAGCAGCCCTGCAGAGAAGGACTTGGGGGTTCTGGTGCACAAAAAGCTGGAGATGACCCAGCAGAGTGCACTTGCAGCCCAGATAATACCCAATAATACCGGGTCCAATAATACCCAGGGCTGCATTGAAAGAGGGTTGGCCAGTAGAGAAAGGTGATTTCCTACTCTGCTCTCATCAGGCCCCATCTGAAATAAATGGGTCCAGATCTCAAGCCCCTAACAGCTGTGGCTGTCCCATCCCTGGAGTTGTTCAAAGCCAGGCTGGTGGGTCACCGGGCAGCCTGACCTAGTGGGTTTCATCTCTGTCCACAGAAAGTGGGTTGGAACCAGGTGGGCTGCTTCCAAGCTATTCTGTGATTTCCCACCAAAAAGAAATACAGAACAAAACATAAAAAAACTTAAACCTAGGATAGAAAACACACTGTGCATGCTTCTTTCTGGCTCAGACTCTGTGACAACACCATACCCAACTGTAACACTGTGAATTCTTAATATTTTTGTGATTGGTTAAGAGAGGACTTGCAGCAAACTGGTAACTAGTGAAAAGAACTGTAACAATCTTGTGAAGGCTCACAAAAAAGCATGCACTGTAACACCCTTCTGAAAGGTTGCATAACAAACACGTGTGCAAGCTGTGGAGAAATCAAGAGTTATCTGCCTTGGTTAAGGAGGTCTTGGGTTCCCCCCCTCCAACCACGACCATGATCATCATGCAGAAGGAGAAGCACAGCTGGTACAGCATGCACATGGCACATGATACCAGACACCTTCTGCCTGCCTACAGCTCCTGGCCCAATTGGAAGGGGCCATCATATGGCATAAGAAGCACTGCCAACCCGAAAGCCAGTGGCAAATGCCCCACCACATCCTCCACCACTCCAGAAGAAGAAGAAGGAGGACAGACTAACAGGACATCACGGGATCTGCAGTGGTGGCTTGCTTTTCTTTCCTCTCCTCTTTTTTTTCCTCTCTCTCGTTTTCTTATCTTTTTCCTCTCTTGCTTGCCTGCCTTTTAATAAATAAAGGCACACTCTTGTTCGATCCACACACTGTTCTGAGTGTTAATTTGGATGGGTTGGGATCAACATAATGAACCATAAGCTTCTTTGGCTTGCAACACACACATACAAGTTTAAATATCTTATTTACAAAATATTTCTAGTAATCTGCCGCTGTCAAAGCACAAAATCAAGATTGAACTCCAAGTATTTCCAGTTTCAACCTTTAAGATCAGAAACAGTGATTTCCTATTGACACTGACCCACATTTAAATAAGCATATTAACTATAAAATGGGTGCTAGAAATGGTCAGTATGATGAAAATGGGAAAATTACACCGAAAAATATAAAGAGTTGGTAAAAAAAAAAAAAAAAAAAAAAAAAAAAAGTAGAATGTATTAAATCTTCTTATGCCTTATTACTCACTTTTGATGTTTGGAACTAAAGCAAATGTTGCTTGCAAAGGGTAAGTCCCATCTAGTGCAGTTGCTCTGAGACAATAAGAGACAACATCCAGAACGACAAAGAGATATTTATTTTCATTCTGAGTGGTTTCCTCAGGTAAATCACTATGATTAATATGCACATACAGGACTTCTTTAGAGAGGGAAGATGTTCTGGAAATGCATTTAACCCTCTATCATTTCCTCCATTTTGACCTTCCAAAATTATTCTTCTTCCTGTTTTTGCCAAAGTTGCAATAAAAAATAAGAGGGGAAAAAAAAAAAAAAAAAAGTACAGTAGAGCATGAAGTCCAACTCTTACACTTGTGCAACAGAAAAAATAAAAGTAGATCATGATCATAATACAAAGAGGTGAGACAGTCAGGTTAAGGCTAAGTCAAAGGACACACAAATGTATGTGCCGAGGGTATCACATAAAGGAGGATGTGTAGGTAAGAATGCATTTAAACATTATGTTAGAAAAATAAATCACACACACAATCACAGAATTGCAGGGGTTGGAAGTGACCTCTGCAGATCATTGAGTCTGACCTGCTGCTAAAGCTGCTAAAGCAGGTTCCCTAGGGGAGGTGGCACAGGAAAGCATCCAAGTGTGTTCTGATTATCTCCAGAGGAGACTCATAACCAATCTGCACAGCTGGTTCCAGTGCTCTTGCCCTCACAGTAAAGGAGTTCATCTCACATTCGCATGGAACTTCCTGTGTTCCAGTTCGCACCCCTCGTCTGTGGGCATCATGAAAAAGACCCCATCCTCCTGACTGCCAGACTTTAGATATTTATAAGCATTGACAAGATCCCTACTCAGACTGCCTTCTGCAGTGCAGTCCCACATCTCTCAGCCTTCCTTCATCCGGGAGATGCCCCAGGCCCTCATCATCACTGCGGCACTCCGCTGGCCTGTCTAAAAGTTCCCATCCCGTCTCCACCCGGTGAGACCAGAGCTGGGCACAGACCTCACGAACGAAGCACATCACGCCCGGATCTCGAGCCACACGCCCACCCAGTTCTGAAGGTCGTAACAAGAGAGGTCTGCGACGGGGACCTTTCCCACCACGCGCTGCCACTGCCTTTTAACCACTTAAAGCAGAGAGCGACCTCGGCTTTTCCGAAGCACGGCACCTCGCGCCAAACTCCGTTTAGTTTTACCCTAACAACCAAAAAGCGAAACGGTGACGGGTTTGTTTTCACCAAGCGGCACGGGGCAGCCCCGCTCCCGGGCGGGCAGGCTGCAGGCGTCGCAAGCAGCAGAGCGCCGGCCGCCCCCGCCGCCGCCTACCTGGTAGCGGCCGCTGAGGAGCTGGCTGCGGGACGGCGTGCACAGCGGCTGCGTGTAGTAGCGCTCCAGCCGCACGCCGCCCGCCCCCAGCGCGTCCAGCCGCGGCGTCCGGATGGCCGAGCCGTGCCAGCCCACGTCGCCCCAGCCCAGGTCGTCGGCCAGCACCAGCACCAGGTGCGGGGGGGACCGCGCCGCCGCCGGCCGCGGCAGGCACCACAGCAGGCACCACAGCGCGCAGAACCGCTCCATCCCCGCCCGGCAAGCAGGAACTGAGCCCCGGCGAGCCGCCTCGTTCGTACCCGGGCCCGCCTCGGGGATGGGCCGCGGCCGGGGGGCGGGAGCGCCCCCTGTGGGGAGTGCTGCGCGGGATGGCGGCCGGGGGGGTTGCGTCGCTTCTTCCTGCGCACGCCGGCCGCGGCAGGCGACGGGGTTGTCCCGCACAAAAGTTGGGCGCCGCCACCCCGTGCGGCAGCCCTTGGCGGTGACGGCGCCTTGCCGGGGGAGGCGGCTGGCTGTGCGCGGTGGCAAACGCCAGAAGGACGAAGTGCGCGGCCTGCCCGCCGCCCTGGTCTGATGCCGCTCGCGTCCCTTCCCCTGCCCGTTCCTGCTCCTAAGCCGTCAGCGGCACCGGGTTTTGCACTTGGTTTGGCTCATGTGGCCGAGAGGCCTGGTTCTGTCTCTGCTTCTGAAATCTCCCTTGTGACAGTTACACTGTAGGAAGGAAGTGAAGCAACCCAGAAGCAGAACTAACAGCTGTGTCAGCAGAGCTGTTTCTTCAAACCATTCTATCTTCTAAGGCAATATTGTAAACCTACGTGAAAATCTTGCTGTAACACAGACTGGGAAAGAACAGAAGGAGCTGTCAGCTGAATTGTGCATCCACTGTCCACAAAAATATTTCTGTATTGAGTTAAAAAGCAAACAACTATACGTTTCACATTGACCTAGAATGGTACATATATACATTCCCAAAATTATGCAGCCATTTGGTTTTTATCAGTTTAAACAAGGCCAATACCGAGTACACCAAGATCCTGCCCACTTTCTTTATTGTTCATAAATCTCTTTAGAAAGCAGTTCCTGCTCCTCTGAATGAAGACTAGTGGATAAGCCTGTGTAGTTAGCAGACATTATAGAAATCCCAAAGGATTCCCTGCTAGCTTGAAAACAACTGCACTGACAAGCGATGACGTGTTTTTCTACAATGATCAATAATAAATTTATATATATTCCAGAGAGAAGTTCATTTAACCTTCATTTTTTAATTCTTAAACATACACAGTATCATCTGAGTGATTCCCGGGATCTGTTTTTCAGACCATCAGTAGTTCTGATACCCATCTAGACAAATGGTACTTTTTTCCCAGCTTCCAGGTATTTCTCCAGACGTTCTGATGGAAGAAGTGGAATGTGTCACAGAGGTATTCCAAAGAAAATGATAGAAGGAGAGACTGGAAGTGCACTCAGTAAACAAGAAATGAAAGTCCATAATGAAAGAAAGCAGAAAAGCAGGTAAGGACAGCACTAGTATGAAGATTATATATATGACAGGAATGCAAAGTGGCCAGGAAATCCAAGCAAGAAGAATCTGATATGAAGAAATAGAAAGAAAGCAGAATATGAGAGAGAAGAAATGTATTAAGAAAAAAAATGATTTTGCTGTTAATTTTTTCTCTCATAAAAGACAGTGACAAATAAATGAATATAATTATGGTAAGTTGACGTTGGTTCTGTTATACCTAGATCTGTAAGTTCCATTTCTTTACAGTTATTATTGCTGTCTTTGTATAATTTTATTCTGCATATCATACCATGTTTATTTTTTCCCTGGGTGAATTTCTAATACTGAACTCTAATGTGTGGAAGGTTCTGGAAGAGGGCTGTTCCTGTACGCTTTTGTTCACCTCAGCTTTAGGACTAGGGTGAAAATTAAGGAAATTGCACAATTAAGATAACCAAATTTTTTCTTACTGTTGGAAAGAGGCTTATCAGCTCTGAGTCAAAATATGACACTGATACTGGAACAAGAAGCAGTAAGACTTTCCTAGAGTAACTTTTATCTGAAGTAAATTCCAGGATTCCTGACAAAGCTGATATGTGACTATGAGTTATATTCCATTTGTTCAGATTTTAGTCATACTGTTTCTAAGTCTGGAATGCTCTAACTTGCCTTATTTTTAGTCCAGATCTATCAGCAGTCACATTTGTCTCAAAGAAATTGAGTTTTTTGCTAATTCATACGTCTCCATTCTAGTTAAAATCCCATTCAAATGTTATCACATTCTTGTGGAAATTATTCTTGATCATTCAAAATAACTTTGAAAATCTACACGGTGTTTGTGAAACAGAGATGCTGAATACAAAGTTTGCATTAAGATTCATAAACCTATTTATCTCATATGTTTTCAGAGCTAAAATGGTGTTCAAGCTGAATTCATCTGCCCTTGTAGAGAGGTGTCAAGATTTTTTTCTGTTATTAGGCTAAATGAGGATGATATGTAAACTGGTTGCCTGATCTGCCAGAGTTGAAGTATTTTAAACTACCAAAACACACACAGCAGGTACTGCACAGTCACAGTCTGAATGTTGCTTTTTTTTTTTTTTTTTCCTGTTTTTCTTGGTGCTAAGCTTATTACTATCTTGAGAACTAGGACCATGTGAACTTAATGAAGTTCAACAAAACAAAGTGCAAGATGTGTACAGACTGAGAGAACTCACTGAGCGCAGCCCTGCTGAGAAGGACTTGAAGGTCCTGACTCATAAGAAACTTAACACGAGTCCCTTGCAGGGGGAAGGCTGGTTGTTCTGCTGCAAGAGTGCCCTTGCAGCCTGGAAGGCTGGATTGCATCAAAACAGGGTGGCCAGCAGGGATAGAGAGGGGATTGTCCCTCTCTCCTCTGCCCTTGTGAGACCCCACCTTTATTACTGCATCCAAGCCTGGGTCCCCAGCATAAGAATCAGTGTCACAGAATTGTAGGGGTTGGACCTCTAGAGATCATTGAATGCAACCCCCAAGAAAGATGTGGCGCTGTTGGAGGGGATCCAGAGGAAGGCCACAAAGGTGATTGAAGAGCTACAGCACCTCTCCTTTGAAGGAAGGCTGCAGGAGCTGGCCTTGTTCAAACCGGAGGAGGTTTTAGGGAGACTTCATTGCAGCCTTCCAGTAGTTAAAGGAAGCTTGTAAGCAGAAGAGAAACAGACCTTTTACATCGAGATTTAGATTAGATATTAGGAGGAAATTTTCTACTCACAAGTTGGTGAGACACTGGCACAAGCTGCCCAGAGAAGCTGTGGATGGATCCATGGAGGCGTTTAAAGCCAAGGTTGGATGTGGCCCTGGGTCCTGATCTAATGGCAGTCCCTCCCATGGCAGGGGATTGGAACTGAATCTTCCAACACAAGCCATTCTATGATTGTTACTATTTTAGGAATTTGGATTCCCAAACAGAAAATACAATTTATATCAGAGAGTATTCTCTTGCATCAAAGAAAAAATCCTGGAAATGACCTGTGTTCAGTCCCCTTAGTTTAATCATTTTTTTTTTTCCCTGCGAGCCTACATCTTTGGAGATGGGTGAGCATTCTTTCCTTGTTTGTCCCTTTGGCCATTTCACTCTTGTATCACCTTTCTACCATGCTAATCTTTCCGACTGTAACAGAGCAGTAATAAAGCAGGTAGGCAAACTGGAAAGCCCTGCCAGAGATACAGTACTTATAACACTTAGACATGTTTGCTTAAAACTACTTGAGATATCTCTACTGCAGATTACACTGTAAAATAGAAAGCACAGTCATTCTTTAGATAGAAAGGAGTGCAGCAGTCTCTCAGACACACTTTTTGTCTTATTTGTGGCTAGTGATGATCACGGTTTTACAAGATAATCTTATTCTTACAAGTCAGTGACAGTAAAGAGACTTAATTTTGTTTTGCCTTGTCTCATATACAGCATTCCACAATTTTTGTCTTCCCTATATCTTGAAACTAAATTAAATTTAACTGGACAAGGCTCAAGCTTGGTGAGACCCAAGAACAACAGCTGTTCCTGAGCAGCCCACATCAGTATTTGGTTTTCCTCTCTAGATATTATATTCTCATAGTTTAAGTATTGTCTTGCTTGGGAGTCAAGATTTGAAACTGAAAATTAGTGTAAGTAATTTACATGACAGTTAATCTAAATTAAAGCACCTTCTTGAATGCCTTACTGAATAAAGGTGAAAGTTTTCAGCAGTCCAATGTTATGATTATCTATAAAATGAGACCAATATAGTCCATATGAGAAGTTAGTTGCTGGGAGGTTACATCTGGAAATGTGCTATAAGTCCATGAGAGGCACAGTTTCTGAGCTCAATTTGGAATTGAAGGAACTGTATCTGTGGTTCACCATCTTTTGCTCAGGTTGCAGAAAGTCTGCACCTTCTGCCATCAGACTGATGTGGTTGACCTGTTAATGAACAGCACATTTTTTTCTTCCAAACTGGAAAGAGTTACAGACCTGATTTTTAACTTCCAGTTAGAAATGTGGATGGAATAAGTGAAACAGCATGCTGTATAACAAACCTACTTAGGCAAATACATGTGACAGCCTGCCTCAGAATTACTGTTATTGTACAATCCCAGACATCAAGTCTAGTGAATTCGCATATTCACTGTTTGCATATTAAAATTCAAAACTATGTTCCTAAGAATTGCTCTCTCTTCCTCCACATTTTAAATAAAACTATCACGTTGTGTTGTATTTTAGGTTTCTTAAATTTTCATGGAAACACTGTGGCTAAATGCCTCTTTAAAAACAACATCGCCTTAACAAAAAGTAACACCTCTGATTTGTTCAGCAAAGCAGAGTCACTTACAAAAGCAAAATAGAAGATTATTTCAGAATGGATTTTCCACCTAAGACAGTACTACATGCAAACTCCCAGATCTTTTCTTTTAAAGAGATTTGGAACAACACAACGTGTGGAATAAATCTTTTAATAAGTGTAAATGTTCACTACTCAAATTGTGTTTCTCCTGATATATTTCCTTCTTTGAGAAAGATTTAGATAAAGCACTTGGGGAAAAAATCATGTTGAGTATTATTTACAGTCATGTGAACTTCAAAAATGTTTGTCTATAGCCTACAGGTGAGTGCTGGAAATCATATGACGTTTTAATTCAAAAGAACTGGTGAGAATATTATGGAATTCAGAAATGTGTTTTAATAATTCAGTGTATTTCCACTGTTTACATTATCCCAATCCTACTTACTTGGCTTATCAAATATAAGAACCTCATCTCCTGTGGATTACAATTTTTTCATCATCAATATTTCTGTTTAACAATGTTTTAACCACTGCTCAGTCTACAATTAACAGGAAAAGGAGGAATAGAAGATCTTCAGTGGCACGCCAAAACAAAACTGCAAAGCAACTCACAGGTCTGTGCCCTGGGAGACTCCTGCAGGTTGAGATGCTGCCTCCCAACTAGGCTGCAACTCTAACCCCCACCTCCTTTTAACAAGAGACGTTGCACTGATCTGTTGCTTTCCCTCCGGCTTTGCAGCTGCCGTAAAAGTTGCCTGGGCGGACAAGTGTGTGCATTTATAGCAGGCAATTCCAAGAGGAATGTCCATCCTAATGAAGTCCAGCTAGGTGAGAGATGGGCAGGCTCGTTGTGACAGTTATTTGGGGATTCTGGCAGAGAGAAAGAGGCAGAGAGAGCAGCCCGCAGCTGTAGTGGACCTGGATCAGACGGTGGGGTGACCGCTCGCATCTCCCGCTCAAAGCAGAGACATAGAAGCAGAAATGGCAATGTGGAGTGGTTTTATTTCTTCGTCACCTGTCTCTCATCAATAATTCACCTGAAGGTTTTTGGTTTTTTTTCATATTTAGACCAGTGAATGCTTCAGACAGTATTTTAATTTCCTTTCAGAGACTGAGCAATAACATGTACACGTTATCTACCAGCTCATCTGTATGAAATAATGATGAACGTTTCCTGTAACTATTGCATTAAGAAGAAGATTTTGATCATTTCTGCCAGTGATACATTGAGGGGAAAAAAAAAAGCAATTCAGTTTGCCTTTAATACTGTCTTTATTACTTTGTAATGATTCATGGGATAGATTTCCATTCTTTAGAGAGCATTTCTGTGCAGAACAGTGATATTATTTTATTGATAAGTTTGTTAAGCCATAACCACTTATAAGGATAAGCTACTTTACCCCAAGGACAGAGAAAGGAGGAACTATGAGTCTCCAGCTGAAGGAAGAATTTGCTATTAGTCAGTGTTAAGAGCAACTACTTCCTCTACCTGAATTCAGATCTGCCAGCCAGCATCTGAGCAAGCTGAATCAAACCCAGCCAGTTTCTGCTCTCAGCTGTTACTGACAGAGTGAACACATACTGGTCCATCACCTGTGCTCAGAACAATGCATACAAGGAAGCAAGGGGGCAATGGCATCAAATTTCCCAGTGAAGAATGGCAATGAGGTTCTTATGTTCAGTAATTGAGTAACCTGAGTAGTTTAATTCTCTTAATTGCATGCATATAAAAAGAACTGCACAATATACTGCACAATTTCCTGTGTTCTCATCTGTGTTTATATTTTGGGACTTTGACCCTTTCTCTGAAGGCGTGTTCTTGTTGGCTCAGTCAACACCAGTGGCTCTTGTATAATAGTTGCTGAATAATTTTTTCCTAGAAGTTCAACTTCCAACTTCTGTCCAACTTTGCTGAGCTCAATGGGAACATATGCAAAAGCCAGACTCTGCTTGGCACTGTAGCTGAAACTTCCAGATGTGGTGTTGCCAATAACCTGGGGGAAAAAAAAAAACAATCCTTAATACATATATTCAAAATCCATTGAGTTTGTTGATTGGTTTTTTGTTTGTTTGTTTTTTACAGACACTAATTTTCAATTGTATGCTTCATATGCAAAGTAAATTTCAAGTGCACTGTGCTGTTCATAACATTCTCTGTGAATGGCATCGCCTTAAGCTGGTAAATTTTTGCTCCTTAAAAAAGAGTTTATTCCTGTTGCATTCAGTTCAGTTTTTACCAGGAACAAACACTACACACATGCAGATACACAATTTATATATATATAATAGATACACAATGATTTAATTGCTAATAAGTGTTTCAGTATATAATCTGAGCTGAAGTGTGAATGCCTAAGCTTCACTGTTGTTTATTTTTCTTTTAAGCAAGTGACAGAAATTATCTTAGAACAATGATTAACTTGCAGAATGACTTAGTGGTTAATTCAATGAATGGATAACTATACTTCAGTCTTTTCTATTCCTGTTTCTGTGACAGTATTCCACACATAAACAATGCTGCTTCCTACCTGAAGGTTAGAAAATGGTGTCATGGCTTAAAATTCTTCTGTGCCAGTAGAACAAAGATATTATATTCACACTTGAAACATGAAGTTAGGTACTGTTTGTGAATTAACTTCAGTTTCTTGTAACATGATCTATAGTTATTACCTTGCCATTATGCCACACACTTTCATTTCCCTCAGGATCAACATCATCTGTTTCCAGGGTGAGATATACTAGTCGTCGTTTGAGTCCCTCTTCTTTAATCTGCTTCAGTGTTTTCTTTCCTGTAAAGTCTGCTGGCTGAGAAAATAGAAGATAATATGATATTCAGGTTACTCAGGTTCTACAAGGAGTGATAAAAACATTTATATTTGTCTTATTGGTTTTCCTAGCATTTAAGTATTCTGTATGAAATACAGATTAGATCAATTTTTCGACAGATATTATATCTTGTATCTTGATGTTTTTATATTGGTACATTTCATCTTGGTAATTTTATTCAGCATATTAATTTTACTAGATCCCAGTCTTTCAGCGTCTGTAATTCCAACATATGCATAGGAATGCATGTAGCAAGATGGATGTTACAGGACCGTCTGCCCACTTAAAGCTGTGAGTCAGATAGTTAAGTTTCATTTCAGTTTCAATTTAAAAAAATGGGAATACCAAACTCTAAAGTCCTGGCTTCCCTCTGTGGACACACATCCTTTTGATAGCATCAGCAACCACTACTGTTACCTGTTACAATTCCATTTTGATGCCTGTGTGCTAGGATGCAAATCTGGCAGTTTACTCTGTATTCTTGTTTTAACTTACATACGAGGGAAAAACTCATATCTACCATTTTAAGAGATAATAAAGCATGTTAGCTACAGAATAATGCTGCCATTTGGAGTTCCCTTTTTCAGCTTGCCTAGTAAAATAAATGCAGATGTTCACCTTTTTAGAAGCAGACTGCATAAATGCATGCAAGTACTGAGGGAGCCATCTGTAAATCTCTGAATAATAAAGGATATATAAGATAGCGTATATTGTAGCAGCTATGTTGAACTGGCTGAGATAGCTTGATTCCACAGCCAGGATCCGTGATAACAGCTTATTTTGCCTACCATTAGCTGTAACCCTGACTTTTCTCATAATACTATTTAAGTCTTTGTAAATCAGACAACTTCCTTGCTTGATTAGCTGGGAGTTAATTGGAAAAACAAGCCATAGAAAGAGTTGTTACAGACTTTGTACTGCTGGACAGAATGTCTCAAGTGTCAAGAGAGCATTTTTCAACACTGCTGATAGCCTGGCTGAAATGTGTCTACACCAGTGCACACAGCATGGGAAACAAGCAGGAGGAGTTGGAAGCCACAGCCTAATTAGAAAACTATGACCTAATTGCAATCACATAAAGATGGTGGGATGATTCACATCCCACAGTGCGCCGAGGGCTGGAAACTTTTCAGAAGAGATAGGCAGGGAAGAAGGGACAGGGAAATTACCCTCTATGTAAAGAGGAGGATAGAGTGCAATGAGCTGCCTCTGAGAAACAGCCATGATCAGTTTGAGAGCTTGTGGGTGAAAATTAGGGACTGGACTAAGAAAGGACATCTGATGTCAGGATCTACTACAGGCCACCTGACCGGGGGGAGCATATTGAAGTTGCTTGCTTCAACTACAAGTATTGCACTCATAGGCTCTCATCTTGATGGGGGATTTTAAACTATTTGGATGTCTTTGAAGGCAGCATGATAAGCTCTGTTGAGGATAACATCCTGGTCCAGGTACTGGACAGATCAGCCAAGGGGTGAAGCATTACTGGACCAGGTGCTCACCAACACAGAGGAGCTTATTAAAGAGATTAATATTGGAAGTACTCTGGGCTGCATGCCCTGGTAGAGTTCGTGATTTGAGGGAGACAAACCTGGCAGAAAGTAAAGTCAGGATCCTGAGCTCCAGGAGAACAAACCTCAGGCTTTTAAGGAATTACTAGATGAGGTCCCCTTGGAAGCCATCTTAGGGACAAAGGACTGGCGCAGAGCTGGTGCTCTTGAAGGATGCCCTTCTGAGAGAATGAGTGTCTCTGTTCCTGAGTATAGCAAAACACGCAGAGGAGGCAGGAAGCCATCAGGGCTGAGCAAGGTCCTGGAGTTCAAACCGGGGGATTAGAAGGACATATGCAAGCAGCAGAAGCAGGAATGGGTGGCCTGGGAAGGATATGAGGATGCTGTCTGGACATGCAGAGATAGGATCAGAAAAGTCAAGGCATAGATATAACTGCACTTGATGAGGAATGTGAAAAATAATAAGGGATTCTACAGGTACACTAAACAAGCAAAAGAGAGTGTACTCCCTCTGATAAATGAGAAAGGAAAACTAGCTTCAACAAAAAAGGATGAAAGCTGAAGCACACAACAAGTTCTTTGTCTCAGTCTTCACTGGCAGTCAGGGTTCTTGTGCCTCTCACATCCTGAACCTCTAACCCCTGAATCTCTAGATGAATACTGGGGGAGCATCCTTCTATTATAAGAGAAGAGCAAGTCCAAGACTGCCTCACAAAATGAAATGTATATTAATTCAACTAATTTGCCAAATGCACATCATCCTGCCCTGTGGATATAATAATAATAATAGCAGTTAGAAGTTCACCTAGCTTTTTAGCTTTTGCTGAGATGAGTAGCAGTGAAAGCTATTTTAAGACATACGGTCCTAGATCACTGTGACAACTCTTGTGCATCTGAAGCAGAATTTCTAGTCATTTGATGAGTGCTAAAGAGAAAAGGAATTAAATAATGTTGAAAATGTCAATATACTATTTCTGGTACTGTTCTTTAATTTCTGTAAAGAATTACAGCACATAGACCCTAGCATTATTTGAAACACACTTGTATATGTACTTGAGTGCTCTGCTTATAGAGCGGTATTCAAAATGCCAAGTTCTAAAGTTCTGCTCCTTGTGAGTCAGCACTGAATCATTATTTTGCAGTAATACTAGCCAAGATTACAAGCAAAATGTATTGTACTCAGAATGCATTACTGCACAGTTACAATGTGTTCCTATTTCTGAACGTCTTATTCAAGTTCACATATGTCTATTTGTAGGCTTAGAAGAAACTACTGAAGCACTGATGACTTTTGAAAGATTGGATTGTGCAAGCAATAGTGAAAAACAGTGGATGTCAAGAACTGGCTAAGTTAGATCAGTTAGGCTGAAAATCAGTGTGGAGCAACTGAGGATAAAGGCAGATGTAATACATAAGCATCATAAACACTCCACTTTGAAGTGCAGCATGAAATACTGTCCAGATCAGACAAAGGACTGGGAGGACTGATTTTAGAACTCTCAGGATGCTGCTAGAAAAGTATAAAGCAATGACTTCAAATCAGACAATAGCTAGCAAATGAGTGGCTCCTTGTCACACTTCACAGAATTGCTTTTGTGTTACACAAGAATATTTATAGAAGGAATCACCTACAACTAGAAACACAAATAAGATAGTATACCTGAGCACATCACAAAGACAAAACACTTTGCACGAGACAGATATCTGGGAAGCAGACATTCTACAAGTAACCTTAACACTGAATCAACTTCTTCCCCATCCCAACAGGCCAATGTAGTATATGGTATTTAGTCTCAAGGAATGTAACTGTGGAACTAAACACAAGAACTCAAATAAAATGGCATGTGCCCTAGGCCTCCAACTGCCAACCAAGAAGTTAGGTCTACACTCAGTCTTGTCTCATATTTACCAACACAGTATGGATGTTTCTGATTAAGACATCTTAACTTGACACTATGGATGTCTTTGAATTCCTATATGTAGGTCTCTTAGCAAATTCTAAGTTGTAACAGGCAGTACTCTCTCTAAACTAGTTTCCAGCAGTATTCTTTTACCATGCCCGCTCCCTTCATTCAGTCACTCTCAATTTTTCCAGAAAAAGGCAATTGTAGCCTGTGACTTTGGGAAAGCATTATCACACCGTGCTGACATAGCTAGTGCTGTACAGCAGAGTTGTTTTGTTTTTGTTTTTGTTTTTATTAATGGAGTATTCAGATACATGTGAGTGCATAAATAAGAACTGAAAGCCCTTAAAACATGTATCATTTTCATTGGTGTATGTGTGTCTGTTTGTGTATTGTTGTTTTTTTAAATTCAAGATTTCCAGTTAACTGTTACCTCTGTAAGTTTCTTTTTTTACAAATGGGTGAACAGTTCCATAAAAGTGAATGCATCAATCATAATGAGAACCTTGATTAAGACCTGGTAGCATATAAATACCACTCTAATGGGTCAGTTCACGATTAGCTGTATAGATGGCTGTTAATTCCTGTTAATCTACTAATTACTGTAGCCTTAAGGTTGACAGCAAAAAAACCCTTGACTTCCATGGAAACAATTACGGAAAAAATCCAAGCAGTTTGCAGGTTTTATAATCTAGATATTTCTGGATTGTTCTTTGCCTGTTCTTTATGAATAAAAAATTAAATTCTTGCCGAATTAATTTCAACTGCACCACACCTTCAGCCACCTGGAATATATCATTATATTTTGTATGTTAACTGGAGATGGATTTGGCGGCTTTTATACAATGGACTAGCTGTTTGCTGATCTATATTCCTTAATGGTTATTATTATTTTTTTTATTATTAGAATTCTGGCCCGGAAAAATAACCTAAAGGTAACCTAGAATTCAAACTCTGCAAAATACACACACATATACACATATATGCACACATACACGCAACATTCAAGAATTAATATATGTATCACAGAATCACAGAATTGCAGGGATTGGAAGAGACCTCCTGAGATCTTCGAGTCCACCCCCTGCTAAAGCAGGTTCCCTAGGGTAGGCTGCACAGGAAAGTTCAGGTGGATTTGAAGTATCTCCAAAGAAGGAGACTCCACAACCTGGGCAGCCGGTTCCAGTGCTCCATCACCCTCACAGGTAGAGGAGTTCGTCCTCATGTTCATATGGAATTTCCTGTGGTCCATTTGGTGCCCATTGTCCCTTGTCCTGCCACCGGGCAATGTTGAAAATAGCCTGGCTCCATCCACTTGACCCACACTTAAAATATTTATAAGCATTAATACAATGGAAAGTGATTAATTCAAATTAATACTGTCTATTCTTGGTAAGTTCTTCCTGGAGAAAGTCAGTAAGTTGACTTTCTATTTCTTTTAGATCATTGCATTAAATATAATATCAAATATAATGCCAAGTGAAATCCATTCAACTAGCACAACTTATTAACAGGACATTCTGCAAAAGAAAAAAAAAAAAAAGGGGAAAAAAAAGAAATATTA